GATGTAATTATGCAATACCGCATTGATGTAGATATATAACAACCCTCCCTGACCAGGACTCAAAACTTGGCCAAACAGTGTATCTACCGCCGTTTTTAGTCCGTTAAGGCCGTGCTGATTTCAGAGTAGCTAAACTGTATATACAGCCGTGATTAGGCTGTTAAGGCTTATCGTCAGCGGAAAACAATGCTAGAGAGGATATTGTATAATATTAAGGTTTATATTCTGATCCCATTCAAATGTCTTCCTTTACTTATTTTCCTGAGAGAAGTTATTTACAATGGACTGAGGACTTACAAGTATTTTGACAAAATAACTAAGCCCAAAAAAAAAAAGAAAAAAAATTGTTAGTTAAACATAGACATAATATATTTTAGAAAGTACACGTATCAGTAGTGTTTATAGAAACTCGAGAATAGGCGATTTTCAGGGGAGACTATGTTATTACTAAATTATCCCTTCCCCCAGTGACGAGGAAGGACGTACGATACAGATTTCTTTGGTTGAACATACAAAGGCTGGGCATGGTTTGTGAAGTAGTTAGGTATATATAGCAAGAAAGCATGTTTAACCCATTGCCGGCGGGGAAAATGAACAAAAAATGGGGGAAATACAGTACTCATTTTTTTATACTTTTGTGAAATATGTCTGTCCATAGATGGCTCTGCTAGTCCTGATTTCACTTTTCCTTGAATTGGCGGGAAAAAAACGTATTCTTACTAGTGCTATGAATATAGATGGTAATATTGTTAACAGCAAATTAGGATAACGTTAAATATTTTCGTAAATCGATGACAAGGGTGAACGGGCGAGACAGGCAGTACTGTAACTGGCTCATTGGATACTTAGTACAAGTGTAGCCATCTATGTGTAAAAACAATCGGACAAGTCGACTCACAGTGGGCATGGCATGCACGTACATGCCATCCCCGGGGGCAATGGGTTAACACGATCGACGGCGATTGCATCAGAACACATGGACACAGTCCTAGAGTTCCTGGCTTACGAAAGACGTGCTTGAAGACGGCTACCGTGCTGAACAGGTCGAAGCTTGGACATCACAACCCTGAACTTGACGGCGGTATGAGTCCCTTAAAACCCAAGAGGAGGTTTCTTGGCCAAACTATTTCTACCGCCGTATTTAGTCCGTTAACGCTGTGTTGTATTTCTGATGAAGATATAATCGAAACCAGTCAAATACATCTCTTGTATTGTGAAGATATTCATTCTCATTCATACCTTTTCTACATATATATATGTGTGTGTGTGTGTGTGTGTGTGTGTGTGTGTGTGTGTGTGTGTGTGTGTGTGTGTGTGTGTGTGTGTGTGTGTGTGTGTGTGCGTCTGTATGTGTGTATGTGTGTCTGTTCATGCAAAAACACACACACATAAGTGTATATATGTATGTATGTATATGTATTCATATATATATACACACATACGTAAACAGGTATGTGGATGTGTGTATATATATGCACACACACACACACACACAGAAACACACACACATACACACACACACACACACACACACACACACACATATATATATATATATAATATTTACACAATTGGTTTCTCAAATCTCGTCATTCACTTAATATCCGGATAAATGTTTGGGAGTATAATAAACGTTACTTGATTGCCTCATTAATAGACAAAATGTATGGTATTAAATTGTTTTCATAGCCTTAGGTTTAGTAGAACAAGTTAACTATTATAAAAAAGAAGGAAAATGAAGAAGAGCGATCCGGAAAAAAATAAGTGGGCTGACAAAAAAACAAACAAAAAAAACAGAAGGAAGTTAATTAAAAGAAAAATAATAATAATAATAAGGAGAACAGCAAAAGAACAAGAACAGATAAAAAATACAAATTAAGTGTATTTTGTCCACCCTGACATCTGCTTGAAATTTATGCATGTTAAAAGCAATAGCTGAACTGATCGACATTAGCCTATAAAGCATGGTTGAAAAGTATACATGCTACATGTATAAGCAATTCTTTAATCTTATAACCCATGTTTTTTGTAAATAGTATAATCGAAACATCATATAAATACCCTTTCCTTTGTTTATCATACCTTGTTCTCATTCACACCTCCTCAAAAGGATAATGTGTGTGCATATATACATATATACATACATGTGGCGCAGGAAAAACTTTCATCGAGGGTTTAGAGTATGCTGAAGTAGTACAATGTTATATTTAAACGCATAGGATGCAGCGACTATTTTGTTCTGCATATATATTTGTGTGTGTGTGTGTGTGTGTGTGTGTGTGTGTGTGTGTGTGTGTGTGTGTGTGTGCGTGCGTGCGTGCGTGCGTGTGTGTGTGTGTAGTGTGTCTTCTTTTTATATTAATTGGTATGAATATCTATATGTTGTTTCGATTCATTGTTGCTGGTGCATTTAAACCGATCAAAACTTATGTATATATCTAGGATACGGTTAATACTCAGGGTCACTTGTTACTTCTGAAAAAGTAGATTTCTCTCAATAGTCTGTGCCATAGTACTAAATGACACAGTACTAACAAAAAAATATTAATCTTTAGGATGACGCTAACTTCATCACTTTCACAACATGTATTGTGATTTAAAATAAAGTTGCAATTATTTATAATGATGATGTATTTAATGACGATAGTTATTATGATGATACTGGTAATAATAATGACAATTATAAGTATGATATTTATTATGATGATGGTGATGATGATAATAATGACAATGAATGATAATTGCAATACTACTAGTACTAATAATAACAATAATGATAATCATGGCGATAATAATCATAACAACTACAGCAAAGATTATGATAATAAAAACATAATAATAATAATAAAAGTGATAATAATGATAATGATAATAACAACCATGACAATAATGATATAAAATAATAATGCTTATTACCATCATCATTATTATTATTATTATTATCATTATTATTGTCATCATTACTATTATTATCATTATTGTCATTATAATCATTATCCTTATTATCATTATCATTTTCATTATCGCCTTTATCATAATAATAATAATAATAATAATAATAATATTAATAATAATAGTAATTATATAATAATAATAATAATAATAATAATAATAATAATAATAATAATAATAATAATAATAATAATAATAATAATAATAATAATAATAATAATAATAATAATAATAATAATAATAATAATAATAATAATAATAATAATAATAATAATAATAATAATAATAATAATAATAATAATAATAATAATAATAATAATAATAATAATAATAATAATAATAATAATAATAATAATAATAATAATAATAATAATAATAATAATAATAATAATAATAATAATAATAATAATAATAATAATAATAATAATAATAATAATAATAATAATAATAATAATAATAATAATAATAATAATAATAATAATAATAATAATAATAATAATAATAATAATAATAATAATAATAATAATAATAATAATAATAATAATAATAATAATAATAATAATAATAATAATAATAATAATAATAATAATAATAATAATAATAATAATAATAATAATAATAATAATAATAATTATTATTATCATTACTATTATTACTATTATTATTATCATAAGAAGGAAAACTTCAGTAATGGTAATGGACAGCATGTAGTCATAAAGATAATATTGATATCAATAATCATAACAAAATTCATAACAATAATCATAATATTACGTAGAAATGCTAATCAATCAATTTTTTTTTTTTGTAATGATACCATTTCCACTGCTAATAATGGTCATCTTCAATATAATCAAGTCAAGAGCGCAACCAGTAATAGCAATGACAAAGGTTATTCTGAAGCGAAGTTGAAATATCCGACCTGGAAAACAATGACAATGATAATAAAAATGTTAATAATACAAGCAATAGATCCTTAATCTTTGAATATTTTGATTATAGTTTTCATTGCGATGGTCATTATTATTACTGTTGTCTTTTCAGTAAAAAGAGTAATAAAAACAACTGTGATAATAACAGCAATGACAAAAGATAAGAATAACAGCAAAATGATAACAATTGTGACAGAAAAAATATTTACACGTTCATTCAGGGTTCAAAGTTTACATTGGAAATATACGCTAAGGTAAAGGTGAGTAAGTAAATAAAAAAAAAAGTTATGATGCTCCAAGGTAAAATATATCACTGTTAAGGCACTGTAAAATAAAGGAAATGATTAAGCACTCACTGTTATGAATTATTGCTGGTGGGGCACGCCAATGCAGAGAAATATTAATATCAATGTCTTACTAGAATACTAAGGTACTCTATTGTGAAGGATCCTTGTGGACGGTATTAGGACATCCGTAAAAGCATGTAAAAGGCACAAGGATTCTGAATGGATTTCCAGGCTCTCCCTCTGACGTCATAGTTGTTGCCACTCGTTTGTCTACGTAAGAATGTCCATATGCGATCGTTTTTTGTTTTTTTGTTTTTGTAAAGATTTTCCGTTCAATTCTGATAGAGATAAGATTGATATTACACATGATCTATCCTTATTTGGGTTTGCTTCATACAAGCTTTATTTGGGCTTTCGATATAAAGAAACTGAAAGCAAGTTTGTATACGAAAGTATATGTCACTAGGTATGGCTCTTTTTCATATTGGTTCGTTCGCTTTGGTCGCCTGAGGTGACGTTTCTCTTCTCGCAAGACGCTGTGAGAGCTGCTTTCCCATTCGCCGGCCGATTCGTAACGCGCTTTCTCATTGGCTGAGAGGTAAGGGTGAGATATCAGATACCGTTAGAATTATAAATATAGCGTTTATTGCTTTCATTCTTTTTATTACTAGTCTTTTAATAAAATTTAAAAGTAAGCATTATTGTCAAAGAGAAAATAGTACATATTATTAAATATGAGGAAATCTTTACAAAATTCCCGTAGACGGATCTTAGATAAACATAAGCCCAGTGAGTGTCAACACTGAAGGCGGATATGGAGTGTGGAGAACCTTGAGAGAGTTCTTAGTTGTGATAGCTTAGGTCTGTGTGCGTGATTTCGTCTGGTGTGATTGGTATGGGCTTTTGCGGAGCGTAAGATAGCAAAATAACAATAGTTTTATCTGTGAGTCACACTATATACAAAGATATATCACGAAATTAGCCTATAATGGCAAAGGTGCATGGAGACCGAAGCTAACCGAAGCTCTGTGACTAAGCATGGCCCAGTGACACAACTCCTGATAGTGCCACGAAAGCGTGTGAGGGAATCTTAGCGAGGGCTTTGTGTCTGCTGTCGCTCTTACGGAAGGTTTCATTAGCAATAAAATGTTAACTGTGCATATATGTGTGATGTGACGGCAGGGTGATGTGGAAATGGCTTGTAGTCCCGTGGTCGACACGAGGAAATCAGTAGAGGTGAAAATAGCTCGCGTTCCAATTTGGACATTCCTTCAGCGCCTCCGTCCAAGATGAATGTTTACGCTTTTTTGTGGATTACTTTGACAAGTCTACTACAGTGTTCAAGTGAGTGTACTTTCCTTTTTTTCTATTTTTACTGTTATATTTTGGCATGTAATATCGCAACATTTCATCCAACATGAAGCAATTTCCCAAATCTTTCCAGAAATTTCCGTATTCATAAATAGACAGGATATACAGCATATTAACGGGTCATGACGACGCATGCCTATACACAACTTCAAAGCACACTTTTACAGATAATTCTGGCTTTAGAGAAATAAGAAATAAGAAAATCTAAGGACAGGTATTTAACGGGATTCCAGGAAATTTCAACGGCAGCAAAAGTAGTTATCCTAAGTCATCCACAACGTAACCGCAGCCTTCGCAACTCGGTGTTCAAGGATGACGGTGGTTCTTCAGGTATTGAAACCAGAGAGAGAGAGAGAGAGAGAGAGAGAGAGAGAGAGAGAGAGAGAGGAGAGAGAGAGAGGAGAGGGGAGGGGAGGGGAGGGGAGGGGAGGGGTGGGGAGGGGAGGGAGGAGGGAGAAGAGCAGAGAAAAATGGGAACGGTGTAACGGAGAGAGAGAGAGAGAGAGAGAGAGAGCGAGCGATGGACAACAAAACTAGGCAAACAGACAAACGGATAAACAGACTTATAAACAGGCCGATCGATTACCAAATAAATAAATAAATAAATAAATAAAGATAAGAGAGAAATACACTTACAAAAGGGAGAGAATTGCCAATAATTTCATCATGGCTCCAGGAACAGTTTGTGGTTGAGTGGGAAAGCCCAACCCAGTTAGAGGAACACACCCAATTACATACACACTCACGCACTCAACCGAAGACTCCGGATGGTCCAACAACTCCATTTTTGTTGTTGTTGTAGGAAAACTTTTGAATATGCGAAAGAAAATAGTGAAAGGAAAGAACGAAAGAGAGGAGCTAGAGAGAAAGAAGGAAAGAAGGAAAGGGTAGAGTTAGCAAAGGAGAAGATAGAATCATGAAGACGAAGAAGGAGAATAAAAGGAAGAATACATATACAGAGAAAGTGAAGAAAAGATGAAGGAGCAAGAAGAAGAGGGAGAAAATGCAAGGTCCCTGAACTTGCAACGACAAAACAAAACAGGAAAAACAATAACATAAAAAAAATAACATAAAAAGAGGATATTTAACGTTACGCAAGGGAATATGAATAAGATAAACTATGAATTGAAACCTGATCAGGATTCTATTACATAAATTCATTTGTTTACGGTAATCCCTAAGATGAACTACACTGTAGGTGTGAAAGCTGCCTAAGGTCTCTCTGTGTGCTTGTCTTCCTTGTCCGTCTTTCTCTCTTGTCTCTCCCTCACTCCCCCCTCTCTCTCTGTCTGTCTGTCTGTCTCTGTCTGTCTGTCTGTCTCTGTCTGTCTGTATGTCTCTCTCTCTCTCTCTCTCTCTCTCTCTCTCTCTCTCTCTCTCTCTCTCTCTCTCTCTCTCTCTCTCTCTCTCTCTCTCTCTCTCTCTCTCTCTCTCTTTTTTCTCTCCTCTCCACTCCGCTCCCCCTTTCATCCTGTCTCCCTTTTTCCAACCCACTCTCTCTTTCTCTTCATCTCCCTCACTCCCTCTTCTTTCCCCCCTCCCTCTCTCCCTCTCTCCCTCTCTCTCTCTCTCTCTCCCCCCCCCCTCCTTCCCTCCCTCCCTCCCTCTCTCTCTCCCTTCCTTTCCTTCCCTCCCTCTGGTTCCTTCTCTCCCTCCCACATCGCTCTCCCTTCCTCCCTTCACATCTTCCCTCCCTCTTTCTCATCCACGCCAGTCTCCTCTCGCTCTGTGCTTGCGTTTGTGTGCTTTGTATGTATATTTTGTGTGCCTGTTTATATATATATATATATGTCTGCGTGCGTGTGTATGTATTACTATCTGCACGTAAATACGATTCTGTATATGAAGGCTGTGCATGGATATCTTTATGTTTAAAGGTCAAAATTATGAATACATGTAGCTTAAAATATGCATCCTCTTTCCTACATGTCTTTTATACTAATCAGGAATATCAGAGG